GGGTTCTGGCAGATAGGTGTGGTGGACGAAGACAAGGAGAAAACAGCATTCACGACTGGACTCGGACTCTATCACTTTACGGTGATGCCATTCCGTCTAGCGAATGCACCATCAACTTTTGAAAGACTAATGGAAGAAGTGCTCCGGGGACTGCAATGGGAGGAATGTCTACTTTTCATTGACGACATTATTGTTGGAGCAATAGAAGTGCCACAAGCTTTGCAAAGGTTGGAACATGTCTTTGGATTTGGCGAATTCAAAATGGTTCAGCACAATGGACTTAAACTCAGGGTTCTGGCAGATAGGTGTGGTGGACGAAGACAAGGAGAAAACAACATTCACGACTGGACTCGGACTCTATCACTTTACGGTGATGCCATTCCGTCTAGTGAATGCACCATCAACTTTTGAAAGACTAATGGAAGAAGTGCTCCAGGGACTGCAATGGGAGGAATGTCTACTTTTCATTGACGACATTATTGTTGGAGCAATAGAAGTGCCACAAGCTTTGCAAAGGTTGGAACATGTCTTTGAAAGACTACTAGGGGCTGGTCTGAAGCTGAAACCATCAAAGTGCTTCTTCCAGAAAATAGTGAGGTTTCTAGGTCACATTGTGTCCGAGAAAGGCATTGAAACAGATCCAGAAAAGACATCTGCTGTGCAGAACGTCATTGGATCGGAAGAACCTTCCCTCATGGATCAAAAGATGTCAGCAGTCAACTTCAAGGAACTAGAAGATTAGTTCTTGAGAACCTGTCTTAACAATATCTTAAAGAAAAGTTGAACTTCAGAAGTTTGTGTTTATTGTTAACAATGTTGGAGTTTTATTACGATGTAAATAGTTGGATCGGATAATCTATGTCCCAGAAAGAGGATCTTGAGCTTCAGTGCTGAAGCCATTGCTTGCATGGGTTGCTCTGGTAAATCATAGGGAGCTGTACTAGGACTTGAAGCTTTGTAGGGTGGAACCTCAACTTGTGTCATCATACAGCGCCAGATATCTGCAAACAGAAAGAACGCGTTGATGGAAGTGCTGCAGCGAACGATGATGGATCCATCATGTAACGCAGTAAGACTAGGCCTGATCACCCTGGAACCTGCTGACTTGATGTTGTTTACATTCTTTCTGTGGCATTTGATCGGGGCATCATGTGAGAACGGAGTACACAGAACCGATGGAGGTGACCCGTGTAAAGATAGAAGCTATGATTGTCCTGTGAGGCTAAGATATTTATCAGAGATCCATGCAAACCAGTGTCAGGGTTGTAGAGTATTGACCTATCAATAGTATAATTACACATGATGGCATTTAAGTTGAAATAATAAGCTGCATTGTTGGATGTTTAGGCGAGTCTAAGAGAAAACATTTGTGTTACAGAATACACATAATCATTGAAGATGGCACACAAGTATGTCTGTGGACTCGGAACATGTGAAAATTCTTTTGCCACGAAGAAAGAATTGAAGAATCATTTGGCAGCAGCACCAGCTCAAGGTAGCCTGTATCCTGTGTCCTACATTCCAGTCCTTTTCAAGAGTTTCAGAGTGGAAGAGGCACTGTGATGCCAAGCACAAGCTACAGCTACAGGAACTTGACGCAGACTTTACATCAGAAAGCAATGCCACATGGTTTTCGCTTAATCCTGAATCGTATGTGAGGGTGGTACCAGCTCCAGGTTGGAATGCGGCACTTTCAGCAAAGAAAAGGGAAATGGTCCTTCTTTGGGTCTCAACGTAGGGCAGCATGCCAAGAACAGAAGAAGAATGGGAGGAGGGATGGCAGACCATTAAAACGTGTACAAAGACACTACCAGTGGTGGTGCAGGAGGTACAAGATGATGCTCTGTCCATATTAACAGATGGAATCATAAGTCTTGAACCGGAAGTGAACACACCACCAGAATACGACCCTTCACAAAGCAAGTGTGGCGCCTCTTCTCAACTAGAGATTAAGGACATCCTCCTCCAGAGGAACAGTGCGACTGTCCTGTTCTATACGCCTGGGGGTGGGTTTGTGTACCAGGCAGGCATTTCAGAAGAAGCCATGCGGAATCCGAAGTCATTCGACAACCTCACAAGGCGGATGAAGACTCTTGGCAGGCTGAACCTAACTCCAGGCCAAGTGGATCGGGGCAGAAAATGGATGGGACTCAACTGGAGACAAGGAAAGCTACCTTGGCATCACTTCTGGGGATAGAGAAGGGATGATCGACTCAGTTACACACTGGACATCCCCTTTTTCGTCAAGGGAATCTTCCCCCAGGCCCAAGAAAAGATCGAGTAACTCCAGCATGTCTCCCCATAAGGATTCCTCATCAAAGGTCCCAAGAAGAGAGGAACAGAAAAGATACCATCAAGGGCCCAGCTCTCCCACGAGGCCAAGGGAAGTGGACACCATGAGGGATGCCAAGAAGATCTTGACAACAGGTTGTATGCCACTGCTTCCCCCAGCCAGAAGGGACTGGACACACCATCAGATCCGTGTCAGGAGCATCACCTGGCCTCCTAGGAGCTGGGAGACCCTCAGTGCAGATGAGAGACTCCTCCAGTGGGAATTTGCTGCCATGACCCTGGAGGAGGGCCTCCAAGGACGAGTCCCTCGCATTGAAAGGAGCTACTTGCATGACAGATGGAAAATGCTTGCCCTCCCTGGTACCCTACTGCATACAGAGGACCGCTCACCATCAAGGAAGGCCCGTCTTTACGATTACCGGACCTTGGTTGACATCTCCTTGGGCAAGATCAACGGCCAGACTGCCAGGGCCATAATCCTCATGCATCAAGCCGCCCAACGCCATAGGAATACGGAAACAGACAGGATCATCAACTCTATCGATGCAGCAAGGATCGGTCTTCGTCTGGAAGCGGATTAGCAGATCAGGGGACCTGATCTTTGAAGAGGGGGATGATGTGATGGCCATCACGAAGAATATATAAATATTAATGTGTCTTTATTATAAAATATGTAAGTTATGAAAGCTTGTAAAAATTAGAAATATTTCCTAAATATTTCCCTGGTTTCTTTTGATGGTTATATTACAGTGCACGAATTATATCATAATTATCCTGTAAACCGTAATTAGTTTTGCAGGTATATATCAGTATATTTTTGCCAACCTCGTTTTCACGTAATTCAATGATTTGAATCCCGTATTGGTAAGAAATCTATCAGAGGATCATAGCATGGCACACAGTTACGCAAATTAACCATCACATACAGATTAACCATACCTTCATTCTTCAACAAACAGATCACAATCACTTGGCAGCTTGATATTTATCCATATTTGTGTGAATTTGTGATCAGGGCTGAGCTACGTGTTTCGCCGACGCCCGCCATTTTAACTTTGTGACAGCTAGCTTAGGTCGCGATGAAGTTACTGAATTTGGCTAATGCTTAGCATTTTGCATTATAAAGTTTATTTAATCTAATGAACTATGTCCAGAGGAACCCAGAATCGTATTTGATGACATGTCAAGACGTGTATTAAAGTTACTGTTAATTCTGACATCAGGAACTATGTAATCTTCGCTGATGTATTCATGCGCAGTATTTAGCGTCACTATTTATGAACATGTTTCTCATAAATATGACATCCAGTGCTTCTGTCAAAGCATACCAGTGGCCAATTCGTGTTATTAAACGTCTTATGCATCAGATTAATTCCAATTGCCTCCTGACATTTGTAATCTTCCTCTTTGAATTGTCCATCGTAGTTCCCAGTCGATGTTGCTTGTTGTTATTACGTCCTCTCAGCAGGCAGCAATGACATAGCTTCGACGTAGCAGGACGTAATTGTTTATCTTGTGATATTGGAAGGCAATTAGTGAATCAATTAGACAGAATTAATTGATTGGTATAAATACTCATTTTTATACCAAATTACCTCCTGAGATGGTTTGCCTTCCTTTTTATTTCAGTGATTTTACATTGTGAAAGTAGATCCCTCAAAGGAATAAGGACGTAAAGAGACGTAATTTCTCGTAATTTGATTGGTCAATAACAGACATGTGACCATTTTCTCACACCTATAAATACGATGAGATCCATTCTGGGTCATTCTGACTTTGGCAATCTAAAGGTCAGTTTCAATCCAATGGCAGATAATTTCAGCCCAAAAGTTCCCCTTGTCCTTATGTAATCATTTCTATAAATAGACTGCATTTTTGAACACAGACACAAATTGCTATCTTAGTAACTGTAAAGTTATTCAGATAAAGAAGTCATCCATATATATATATTTATAGCAGTAAACTACCATTATAGTTACAGGCAATAATTATTTGCCCTGACACTGGTCCTTACAAATAAACCTTAAAGCTCAGAGGGATCTACTTATTTGGAAGCATTGTGTTGTCCATATAAGGCATTGTTATACCCACATGAATAAAAACTAATTATTCATTGAAAAGAAGTGTTTTGACTCTCAGTTACATCCAGACTTCGAGGTTTATCAGAAGTTCAGGTCCGGGCAGCTACAAACTGGTGTCAGAAGTGGGATGTTTATATTTTTAAACATCCTTGATATGAACCAAGGGACTTACAGTTAGGACCAGTGACAAGATGGCTACAGTTTCATCTCCAGACGCAGAAGTTTCTTTTGACAAGTGTCATCAAACCACAGCAGAAGAAGGACAAGGGGACATATCTTTTGAAGAGGAGACACTTGATGAACTGTATGAAGAGGCTGAATTGTTATACCCACATGAATAAAAACTAATTATTCATTGAAAAGAAGTGTTTTGACTCTCAGTTACATCCAGACTTCGAGGTTTATCAGAAGTTCGGGTCCGGGCCGCTACAATATTGCTGGAATAGTGCTAAAAGCGGCGTAAAACCATAGTCACTCAATCACTGTTTCGATGGATAATCGAGACTGGTTATTCTCTAGCATTGACATTTTATATTTATCTAATCGTATCCATGGCATTCATCCTACTCTTCGTGAACACCAAAGAACAGTGCACCAAGAAGGTATATGATTATAAAATTGACTCACCGCGCCTCCATTAGCATATCCGGATTTGACCGCAGGGTCCACCTCTGTCCCATTCGAGTGGTAGTCGTGGTCAGCAGACAGGTAGGGACTGGGACCGATCCAGCTCAGTATGACAGGGAGGTAGATCAGTCCATGGAACAGCCCGAAACATACAACCAGGAGGAACACCTGCAGTGAGATAAACCAATAAGGGTACGGTCTGATGCCAAGATTAAAACGGTGTCTTTTACAGGTTTTACAACTTCATGATTGACATGGTCTGGGTTTAAGTAATACAATCCCATACGTGCGGTATCCTGTGTTGTACGAACCTTGAAGAACGTCGTGAAGACGTAGCTGTTGCTGCCGACCAGTAGGATGAAGGCGAGGAAGGTGCTGAAGCCGCCGTTAAACACTGGCGGGCCCATCTCAGCGAGTGTCTCCAGCATCCTCTCTGAAACAAACATCTCATTGATGAGAACAAGCAGCGAGAGATAGTCATACGTATACGAAATGTGGATTTTAATGAACAATGGAATCTAGTTTTAGAAGAACTTTTTATTATCACGGAAGTGTTTGGGTTTTTTTCGCTTTTTAGAGAGTGACACGTAAATTATCAAGTTATCATAGACTTCCTTTGATTCATAACAGTGTCTGCATGGAACTGAAAAATAAAATATTGCAATCAAACCCTGAGGAGCAGGAAGAACATACTCCGTAACCTTGTGTGCTTGCCACCATAGAAATCGGTCTCAATTTGTCACGTGAACATCACTTAAAAAATAAGCGAAAGGAGATTATTTAAATCCTTGTACATATCTAGTAATGAAAGCTGGACTAGAAACAACATGGTCTGATATCCCTGGTATGATCCTTTATTGATCTTGTATATTTAAGCATAGCCAAGATTTCAAACATTATGGCCCGTTTGAATAAGACGAACACCCTTGAGCATGACTTGCAGTGTCTAGCGCATCTGTGTATCAAGAACTGAACTGAAGCCGAAGTCTTGAAAATGAAGCTTAGAGCAACTATACCTTCAATGTCTAGTACCCCTGCTGGTCACTGAAGTCCTACAGTATATATGCCGAGTACTCTACAGTTATACCTACTGCCCCTGACGGCCGTTAACTGATGTCCTACCTTGTCTACCGCCCCTGACTGTCCTTAACTGATGTCCTACCTTGTCTACCGCCCCTGACTGTCCTTAACTGATGTCCTACCTTGTCTATTTCCCCTGACGGCCGTTAACTGATGTCCTGCCTCGTCTACTGCCTCCGATGGCCCTTAACTGATGTCCTACCTTGTGTACTGCCACCGACGGCCGTTAACTAATGTCCTACCTTCTCTACTGCCCCTGACGGCCTTTAACTTATGTCATACCTTGTCTACTGCCCCTGACGGCCGTTAAGTGATGCCCTACCTTGTCTATTGCCCCTGATCGTCATGAACTGATGTCCTATGTGAGCCGAGTAATCCACAGCAAGACCTATAGCTAGGATGAGGATGATGCTTGTCACTGTGTCTATGGTGAGTCCCCAGAAGTACATGCACCCGCCGACATTCACCTGAAAAGCAAAAGCAGGAAAATGTAACATCAGTCTGTACAGTAAGACTATACACGCTGCATCTGTGAACATCTGTTAATCAGTCATTTACAAACTGATACAATACTGTGACCCAACCCCAAGTATGAGGGATAACAGAGTGCCCTCTAGTGAAGAAGAGTTTTCTTCTAACCAGAGTGAAGGTGACGCAGGTGAAGACGAGGACGCTGGTCAGGAAGTTGGCGATGAGGATAAGGGTGACGACAAACACACAGGCAAAGGCCAGCCCCAAGTTCCTATAGAGCTCCAACTGGATTACCTGGGGGAGAACAAGGATATTTAAATAGTGCCACTTGTCCGCTGGTTACTTTGAGAATCTAGAATTTTATTTGTTTGTTGGTTTTGTTTGTTGTTTAACGCCGCACTCAGCAATATTCCGGCATTATGACGGCGGTCTGTAAATAATCGAGTCTGGACCAGTCAATCCAGTGATTGACATCATGAGCATCGATCCACGCAATTGGGATACGATGACATGCATCAACCAAGTCAGCGAGCCTGACCACCCGATCCCGTTAGTTGCCTCTTACGCCAAGCATAGTCGCCTTTTACGGGAAGCATGGGTTGCTGAAGACCTATTCTACCCCGGATCATCACAGATCGAGAATCTAGAAGGACCATTCATGTACTTTAATATAGATTTACAACATGCGTAGCGCTAAGATCTCTTTGGGGTTTTACTTTCAAGGATGATGCTAGAGTAGGTGTAATTAGATCAAGATGAGAACCCGGGTCTTCACAAAATGTACTAGACTACTCCACAGTCCCATATAGCCAGAATAATAACTGCAATAACACATGGCACTTAGAGTTTGACGAGCCAGCGACAGATACTATCAACAACGTTCCAAGCCGTCGGGGTAGGATACCACAAAATAAACGAAGTGGCAGATCCAGACCATTCAATCGCCTCTTAAGACAAGCATAGGTTTCCGGGCGCCAACTCTAACTCGAAAAAAGGAACAAGAGTGAAGGTATAATAGTATTGATAAGATGCATTTAAGAAATTGTAGAATGATGGGTTACAGCTGTGACAATGTTGTATTCTGACACGGCAGTGTAGCTCACCTTGTTCGTCTCCCAGCCCTGGTATCGCCTGGAGTAAGGGAAGCAGGAGGGGAGTATACTGGATATGACTTCCCTGATGGTGTCCATGGCCTTCACCTCGGACTGGGAGTCGGGGAAGCCTACGTGCTGGAAGGCCATCCGCGTTGCCTGCAGAAATAGAAAACAGCATTGATGCTGAGGGAGGGAGTTTGGTTTAACGCCTAAAAATATTTTAGGTATATATCACAATGTGTCTGCTTGATGCTGGATGAAAGCCCGTTATGAAGCAGGTCTTAGATTTTACCACTTTGGTGAAACCCTCGAGCACAGGACATGGTGCACACAAGCACGACTAAGGGAAGCAACTCTGCACAGCGAATAGTACTAGTGGCGCCTTGGATCACAGGGCCGGCTATGTCCTCATTGCTATAGAAAACAACAGTCGGGCCAGAGGCTGATAATGGCAGCCTAGTAACCCTGCATGGTTGGTATGAGATGCCCGTGTGATAAACATAATATTGTCTCAGTTTGTACAACAATTAAGTTTGAGGGGATGCCCTGACAAATGTGGGTCAAAGAAAAACATCTTTGCCTCCTCCTTCACAAGGATGAGCCAGGATGTCTTGAAACAGTGACCAAAAAAATGTCTGCCTTACTATAAAAAATTGGGCGATTTCCAAACACCTACTGGTGATGTATACCTTGATATTCAATACCTTTTCGGAATACACTTCGATATACAAACACCTGGTGGTAGGATACTTCAATAAATACACACACATACAAACAACATACCACGATATCAGTAGCCGTTCCAGAGGCGTTCGTAAACTTGATGTCTCTCAGGACCCTACTGTTGGCTGGAAGGTGGGCCCAGTCGAATACTGACTGGATAAACGAGGCCTCGTCTGTGACGACCCCAACACCTACAACATATTGAGGATATTACAGTCCAAAAGTCAGATTATTTGAAAGTACACAGTAATTAGTGCATTAAAGGAAGATGGATAAATGTTCTTGCCAAGTGACAGTGAGTGAGTGATGGAGAGGGAAGTTTTGCAACGCTTCTAACATACAATAGAAAACAGGTCAGGAATGAGAGTCCAGTAGTCAACTCATTTATGATTCTGGCTCAGGGTTTTCGACATGAACGAACGAGTTAGTGAATAAATTCCCAATCGCCTTACAGGGGGGCAAAATACCACTGGAAAGCAGATAGTAACTTAGAAGATTTGGATACTTTAGTTGCATGCGAACATAGATCACGATGACAGAAAAATAATATTGTGCCGTCTGAGGTAAGCAAGGTCAAAAGGAATATTATCAATTAAAATTCGAATAATTAATAAAAGGACACAAATATAATCTAGCTGACGGTAGTAATCTTAAAAACAATTTTCGAAAATATTTCTATTTCTTTCAATGTTTTTCACGTACTTTCAAACACACGGTTTAATTCATCTATAGATAATACCTCCGTTCTTACTACCACGACGGCCTTTATTAACAGTACGTCGTTTGTTGCTGCTGATTATACTGATGTTGGTACTGCTGCTGCGTGGTGAGGTGTTGCAGACTAGTGGCTAAAGCATCTGCTAAAAAAATATCCGGGTTCGGTTTTCGAGATCGTCACGAGAAACCCATTCGTGACTAAGGGCCTCTTAGTGATTTGAGGGGCGGTCGAGTAGCCTAGTGGTTAAAGCGTTCACTCATCATGCCGAAGACCCGGGTTCGATTCCCGACATGGATACAATTTGGAAGCCCATTTCTGGTGTCCCCCGCCGTGATATGTCTGGAATATTGCTCAAATCGGTGTAAAACCATACTCACTCACTCATTCACAAGGTGACTTGGCTGGAATAACACTGAAACTACAGTGCAAGTGTTACACCCTCATGGGGATACTGGTTGTTTCCAGCAACCTGTGATGGTCGTAAGAGGCGACTAATGTATCGGGTCGTCATGGTTGATTTGTTTTGTTTGTTTGTTTGTTTGATGTTTAACGAAGCACTCAGCAATATTCCAGCTATATGGTGGCGATCTGTAAGCAATCGAGTCTGGACCAGTCAATCCAATGATTGACATCAAGAGCATCGACCCACGCAATTGGGACACGATGACATGCATAAACAAAGTCAGCGAGCCTTACCACTCGATCCCGTTAGTCGCCTCTTACGACAAGCATAGTCGCCTTTTACGGGAAGCATGGGTTGCTGAAGACCCATTCCACCCCGGATCTTCACGGGCCTCTTGGTTGATAGTGTGTCATCGTACCCCTACGATGTGGATCGTTGTTCATAACATCAATCACTGGATTGTCTGGTGCAGCTTCGAGTATTCACAGATCGCCGTCAAAAAGCTTAAACATGCTGAGTTGAGCATCAAACCAAACTCACTCACTCACTCGAGTACTCCTACACCATCAACGAAGCAACATCAATAAATATTGACAGTGATGAATCTTGTGATGAATCCTTGTCGTAACAACGGGAGTGAGTGAGTGAGTGATTGAGTTTGGTTTAACGCCGCTTTTAACAATATTCCAGTCATATCACGGTGTGTCAGCTTAATGTGGGAGGCATGCCCGAAGTGGTGCAGGTCTCAGACGTTTACCACTTCGGTGAAACCCACGAGCACGGGTATGGTGCTGACAAACCTAGAAACATAATCGGGGCGAAACGGGATTCGAACCCACAATCATAGGTTTCTTGCGTGCCTAAGGGACGCAACTCTGCACAGCGAATCGCGGCGCCTTTGACGACTGGGCCACCCGTGCCCCCCGTAACAAAGGGAACATTCAAGTCACCAAGCAATCACTTACCAGTTGCAACTCTGTAGGCCTCGTACCAGCTGTCCACTGTGCCGTTATACGTGTAGGGGTGTGCACTGACACTGTCGTACAGCTGGCTCAGCTTAGCCCTGTTGTCATAGTAGTTCAAGTTGGCTGTAAAAAAGTTAATTATTGTAACGCCATGACAGACTGATGCTTATTGTGTAAGTAATTATTCCTTGGTAGTAATATTCTTACATGTTACATTGTACTTTACTCACACATTGACTTAGCTCGTACACAGCTGGCTTTAGCAGTCTGAGACATTGACAGCGAATGGATTAAAACATATTTCACAAAACTTTCACAAGTCGAACTGTTTCGAGACAACAGATTTCGACTGGGTACATAACATTGACAGCAAAGTTGTTTTTAAACTAAAAAAAATTTAAAACAGCATCAACTTTCTGTAAATATCGGAACTATTATCTTCAAAATTAATTTATAAATATATTCTAACAATCAATCGCAGTTTACCGTTAAATGTCTTCCAATAATCAAAACGTCCTTTGACCCAATGGCAAACACACTGAATCGAATAGTTTCCGCAAATTAATAAAAACTAGTCTATGTTCTATATACGTTGAGAAGATCCGGGCTAAACAGAGGGACTCTGGTGTCCTATTCGTGTCCAGAACCGAAATTCCTTATTTCGTGAAGAGTAACGTCCCTTAGAATTACAGGATCCGCTGATTCGTCGTGATTATTTCCTAGGCTTATCATCACCATCTTCAAGTTAAGTATCAATAGTCTGTGTCGATATTGGCTTTCCTGTCACCTTGTGATTTAATTTAAATAATATTCGGCGTCAAATCTAACTCAAATTCACCTGTGTTATAATCACTCAACACACAACAGACTTACAACAGTAGATGTAGCCATCGGCGCCGTCGTCTGGGAAGTATTTATCTTGAGCCTCAAAGAATTTGAAGGCGTAGCCATCTGAAGGAAGGAACCAGCTTGAGTCGAAGTCCTGCTTTAAGTTGATCAAGCCGTACACATTGGCAGCGAATATACCCAACGTCAATATCAAAACGATGATCTGGTAAAAGAAGGGAGACAACTCTTACGTCATTGGGATTCTATGGCGTGATGTTGGACTTCGCTCTCAATCATTCTCCTGTAATATGACGGCGGCTTGTTGATAAACAAGACCAGACAAAATAGAGAATAATAACTGAGATATACATCATCAGCATGTCCTACGTGTACGGTGTCGGAGTCGACTAGCTATCAGCTACGTCTACGAGTCGCCGCCCGATCCCTATAGTCGCCTCGATCACTGCGTACCCATGCTGACCAACACTGGCCATTGGGAGGCAACTTTTGGTAGTTTTGTGTTATTTTGAAATTGGATAAAGTTTCACATATGAGTGAGTGAGTTGGGTTTTACGCCGCTTTGAACAGTATTCCAGTTATATCACGGCGTGTCAGCTTAATGTGGGAGGAAAGCCCGAAGTGATGCAGGTCTCAGACGTTTACCACTTCGGTTAAACCCACGAGCACGGGTATGGTGCTGACAAACCTAGAAACATAATTGGGGTGAACCGGGATTCGAACCCACAATCATAGGTTTCTGGCGTGCCCAAGGGACGCAACTCTGCTCAGCGAATCGCGGCGCCCTTGACGACTGGGCCACCCGTGCCCCCTTTCACATATGAACAGAACATGGGTGAGTGATTTAACAACATTCCAGCAACATCACGGCCGCTGACACCAGAAATGGGACTTTTCACATGAGGAATCGAACCCGACGTGAACACTTTAACTACAAGGCTTCCCCACCTAACCGAACAGAACATGAACTTCAAGGCAAAGTGACAGTGTGTTCACAATGAGCTTAACTAATAAACTGAAACTACACTTCACTAAAGTACTCTTACAAAAGCCTATCATCTAAATTTGCACTGGATTTTGGCGTTTTTCTTTTCTATCTCACAACCCTATTCAAACTTTATTTTCGATTACATCAAATTTATGTATTTGGAGGGAAGTGAAGAGATTAGTAAATTAATTTAGAATTTGTAGCCAGTCGGAGATTGAAGTCCACTGAACATTCTACCGCGCACATTAGCAAACAAAGTCTTCTTAAAGGACGATATGGACGACAATGTGAGCACGTGTTTATGAATACAACTCGAATACTATCTTCCAACCACCGAATCATACAATAACATAAATAAGACAATTAATTTGTTTTTAACTTTATATGGATCATGTATCTTAGGTCAAAATATCTACAACGAAACCCAAGAAATAAAACGTGTTCGTTTGTTGATATCAATTTGTCTGGTCGTGTAAACAAATACTGATGCAAGGGAGATAACTCTGCTCTCCTTAATAGCATTTCTCAAATGCTTCAGTAACAACTCAAACACAGATACGGCCTATTTACTGGTTTTCGCACCAAGAACATGTAACGTGCGTATAAATCTTTCGCATAATTCTCGCATCGAATTCCAGCCGAATATAAACCAAAAAAAACAAAAAGATTTCTTCGTCTGTTTCTGCTAATAACAATAATCACCAACAGGGGAAAACCTCAGGAACACCTACAACTCCAGACGTTTTCTATTGAAAAGACAGAAGTTAAACGTTGCGCACTGACTATTATTTGATATGTACCTTAACGGGCAGCTTGGACAAGAATGGTCCCTGAACCTTCTTGAAGAACAGCGGAATGAGCTCGGTCTGGCTGCACTTATTGGGCTGCCAGTTCTTGTGTTTGTAGCAGCAGCAGCACGCATCCCTCATCCCCGACACCCGCTGGAGGTCCACGGCGAGACACGCGGTGAAGAAGACTGTCTGCATGATGTACAGCCCCAGGATGCCGAACGCCGCAAATATACAGAATGAACGCAGAGCTGGGAGAATCTAACAGAGGAGATGTTTAATCATTACATAGGGCAACATACAAATATATTTTTTGTTCCTCGTCACTTTATTAAAAAAATAACATGTGTAGGTGGAATAGGTTGTTTTTTTATTAAACATTTCGATTTTCTATTCCCACCAAACAAAATTCCGGATTTTTCTTAATGAAAACATTGATAGGAAGCTTCTTGCTTGCTTAGTTACAAACGGTATTAACGGTCATCAGGACGGGTTACGTCAAAAAGTTAAAATAGCTCCTAAATGCGGAACCTGAATCGAATTTAGTGTGGATACAAATTAGAAATACTTTAGGGCTTGGTTGATATTTAGGGTCGGTCGGTGATTATAAATAAAACTATGCATGTATGTACACAAACGTCGAAGTAATTGTGCATGAAGAAATAGAGCAGAACTTCTTTACATTACTGTGTGAGGCGAAATACGGTAAGGCGAGATCTAGAAGTATTATAGTACTACGGATATATTACTTGGCTGCATAGTTTAGCTACATGCGTACAGCAAAACGCTTGCCTAAATGTTTTTAATGCCAAGGCTTTTTAGCTTTGGCAAACAATGATTATAGACGTGTAAAAACATACCGAGTTAAGTACATGTACGTTGGCAAATAAACCCCAGTAACAGCGCCACCTACCGTCGATGCCCCAATGGCGAAGGCGACGATGTCGGTAAGGGAGGTAACTGTGACCGAGACTCCAGCGTGTCTGAGGATTCGCCCAACCTTCTCCGGGATCTCCATCTCACGCTCGTCTGGTGTCAGGTTGTTCAGGGCTCCGATGATTACAAACATGTCATCAACACCAATACCTGTAGGACGAGAAGACGCAGGTGAACATGATATTGACATTACCATTTCATTATGCAATGACAGCTTTTATCCCAATCGGTATAATTGCGGAATGGAATAGGCTGTGACATGCCTGGTCAATTCAAAATGCAGTTGTGGTCTGATGCAACATCAGAGATATATCCGGGCAACAGTTTACCCCATACAATGTAAATGTTGACTGATGTTTTGTTTGCTGCTTGAAGTCGCTCGTAGCAATATTCCAGCTACATGTCAACAGACTTTAAATAATCGTGTCTGGATATCAGTGATTAATGAGCAACGTCCAACGGGGTACGGCAATCAACCAACGGGGCAAGGCAATCAACCAACAGGACACAGCAATCAACCAACGGGGCAAGGCAATCAACCAACGGGACACGGCAATCAACCAACAGGGCACGGCAATCAACCAACGGGGCAAGGCAATCAACCAACGGGACACGGCAATCAACCAACGGGGCAAGGCAAACAACCAACGGGGCAAGGCAATCAACCAACGGGACACGGCAATCAACCAACGGGGCAAGGCAATCAACCAACGGGGCAAGGCAATCAACCAACGGGACACGGCAATCAACCAACGGGACACGGCAATCAACCAACGGGACACGGCAATCAACCAACGGGGCAAGGCAATCAACCAACGGGGCAAGGCAATCAACCAACGGGGCAAGGCAATCTACCAACAGGGCACGGCAATCGACCAACGGGGTACAGCAATCAACCAACGGAGTACAGCAATCAACCAACAGGGTACAGCAATCAACCAACAGGGTACAGCAATCAACCAACGGAGTACAGCAATCAACCAACATGGTACAGCAATCAACCAACGGAGTACAACAATCAACCAACAGGGTACAGCAATCAACCAACGGAGAACAGCAATCAACCAACAGGGTACAGCAATCAACCAACGGAGTACAGCAATCAACCAACATGGTACAGCAATCAACCAACGGAGTACAACAATCAACCAACAGGGTACAGCAATCAACCAACGGAGAACAGCAATCAACCAACAGGGTACAGCAATCAACCAACGGAGTACAGCAATCAACCAACAGCGTAAAGCAATCAACCAACGGAGTACAGCAATCAACCAACAGAGTACAGCAATCAACCAACAGCGTACAGCAATCAACCAACGGAGTACAGCAATCAACCAACGGGGTACAGCAATCAACCAACGGATTACAGCAATCAACAAACGGAGTACAGCAATCAACCAACGGGGTACAGCAATCAACCAACGGAGAACAGCAATCAACCAACGGGGTACAGCAATCAACCAACGGAGCAATCGATGTCGGGGTTCAATGTAAAAGGTCAGACGGGTTTTCTCAATACCATTGATCAGATCATATTATAACCTCGAATATCCAGTTTATTATACTACCCAAAAGAAGTTCAAGAACACTCGAAGTGTTCAAGTGACTATTGTAAATATGTCATGTCATATGAAAAGGTCGTGTGTCCTTTAACTTATTTTCGGAGTATATATTTTCATTTATTTATGACAAACACCCATGACCCATCTGCAACTCTGGCTTCGTGTTGAGTCCGACTCTAATGACGTCAGACCTGTGTAACCATGTGATCAAACTACAGTACTGTGTGTGAGAAATAACGTGGGAAGTTGCTGATGAGGTAACAACTTCCCTCACGACGTTACGGCCGCGAATGGGCTCATGGCATTAATCACAGTGACGTTGGAATACTCTGGATCGGGGACTTTCAAGGCTTAGCGTAGGATAAATACACTCCAACACCTTTGCATTCGTCATGAAGCTATTTACTTATGAAGGATAACGTACATGGCCAATACTCTCACACGTTAACCTAGACTTCAATTAGTGTGATTGACTTGTGCATGTGGGCATCTGTCTGAACGTAAAGAGTAGTCTAATAATTCTGAAAAATGATATAATTTTTTTTCTTTTTGGTATTCATCTATTTTAAATGACAAAAAAATTACATTATACACGCTCGCGAAATCAAGATGATTGGCAGTGACAACTAATGTGATCTATAGCGAACAAACATATGAGCAGGGTTTTACATGACGGAGAAATGGACGTCCAGTACGCACAAAGGTATAGAATGGACGCCGAAAACAATATTTCATCCAGAGGGATGTACATAATACATTCATTGTAGCCAACCTAAGTGAGTGAATATGGCTTAACGCCGCTTTTAGCAATATATCAGCAATATCACGGCGTGGGACACCAAAAAATATTCCTGGTAGCAAACCCGGGTACTCTCCCAATGTCAGTCAACAGATTGGGAGGTACCAAACCTAAGGCACCGAGAACAATGGGGAGTCGAACAACTTGGTACTTGGGATGCAAGCGTGACATTTCGAAAGCGAGATCCGCATATTTGCCATGTTTTTCCTGAATCTTGTCAATCACATTAGTGTCAAAGGGGGCAGAAAATTCAATGATATAAATGATTTCATTGGATTTATAAAAAAGGACAAGATCGGGTTTGTTTGCCTGGATACGTCTGAGGCTGTAAATGGGCCTATTCGAAAGAATTTTGTATTTATCATTTTCCATGACGCACTCTACATATTCTGGGTTGTACCATGGGTGGACCTCTGTGTCAAAACCACAAGCATGGCGAAGACGGTAATAAAATGATCGCGCTACACCATCATGTCGTTTAAGATACTGTGTTTCTGCCAAAGCTGGGCATCCACTGACAATGTGTTGGACAGTCACATTAAGTTCATTACATAATCTACATTTCATAATCACATTTTGATGCAAAATCACACACTGACGGTTTCAGAGTGGTAAGTGAATGGTTCTGAGCAGCAAACAGAAAGCCTTCTGTTTCACTTTTCAGGCCAGACGACTTCATCAAAGCGAAGGACTCTGCAGGATTGCTGATCTTCTCAACAGACTGCACATAAACTCGATACAGTGGTCGTTCAGATAGCCTCTCCTTTAAAACCTGAGTCTGGGCCGACTTGATATGCCACTTCGCTTGGTTGACACTCATTTCTGTACCGTCCAGCAGTACAGAACCATCAACAAAATCAATACCGACATTGAGATTATGTCCCACATCCTTGGTTCGTTTCAGAAAACTGTGGAATGCCTTGTTTTCATTATTATTTTTATTATTATTTTTATTATTTTTTTATTTTTTATCAACGATGTACCTACCCAGCAGCAGGAAGGGCAAGATGGAGTGAAGAGGACCGTACTCTGCTCCAACCATGGACGCCATTCCAAAGGACACTAGGATGGAGAGTCCCACACATAGTATCCCCGCGAGCGCCAGACCGATCTGATAACACGGAAACACACGGTAATACACACTTCATAATGTCAGTATGCAACAGAAATGTTCATATTGAGAAACTGTTATGCCTTTCATTTAGGTAGTGTGTAGCTATATGAATGAGTGAGTTGGGCCAACAAACTCACACCTTCTCATATACTAGTATTTCGAGTTTAAGTTTGACGGTTTGTTATTTTTGGGAGGATGAATGATTTCCGTCGTACCCGCTGTTCCACCATGTTGAATCTGCCGAGGACGGCGATGACAAAGATGATGAGGATGATGTACCCAGCAGAGAGCAGCGTGGCATCACCCTGGATAGCGCTGCCTCCTTCGTCACTGAAACTATTAGACAACAAATGTGTAACAAAACTCCTCCTCCAGAGGCGCAGTCATTCTGGTTAGACTCCCTATTCTTTCGGTGAGATTCCCTATTCATTCGGGTGAGATTCCCTATCCATTCGGGTGAGATCCAACCTTCCAAGTCAGAGTACTAAATAGCTGCAATAACTATCTCATTTCCTTCTGTCGTACCATCTCGGCATAAAGGGTGATCGACATGAATGGTTTGCCCAATTAACACCCTTTATTCCTCAACATGCATTTACTACTTTACTGGTGGCAGAGTGAGTGAGTGAGTTGGGTGTAACGCCGTTTTGAATTGTGTTTCAGTTATATCACAGCGTGTCAGCTCAATGTTCAAGAAAACCAAAGAGCAAGAACAAGGCAACCCAGTAAGGATTATATTCGGGGCGAAATGGAATTCGAATCCCCGTCTCCCGGATCAGTGCACACATACAGCTGTACATAGAAGTACCTGTGTGGAGGCCAGGTCAACGTACCTTCGTGCTGTGAAGACAAACGACTCCGACAACCCCGCGTGGCCGTTCTTTCCTATTTCTATAAGTTGAAGTTCCCAATCCATAGTGTTTTCCTTTATCTGTAAAAACGTGGTAACGTGTTGGAATTACTAAACAATCCACTTAGTTTTTTTTATAAATTACCTATCAAAGAAAAGTAAGAAGGATGGCTGACACTTTAAACATACTTCTCAAAAGAAGCTATAAGGACCTCCATAATCTTTAATATCATGACAGATTAACAATAGTAATGTGCAAGAATCGGGTGGTCCGTTACTTCTTATAAGTAGTATATTCAGAGTTCTTCCTACCCTAACTATGTTGCTAGTGATAAGGTAACTATAGAAATGTGAAAAATTAGGGTGGTCCGTTACTTCTTTTGAGTATTGTACATTGTTTCAACGAATTTTGTCATTGTCATTGGTATATGTACTACTATCGGGCTATGGGCAACTATGCATTGAAAATAAATATATTCGTTATACCCGAACTACTTACATTGTCATCACCAAGCAAAAACCAGGTAGATGTCAACGCTTGAGCACCAGTGATGTGCCCACTTCCGTTTTCAGTGCGCACGCCTAGAAGGGTCGTCACGTCAAGGGAGTTGCCGAAAACAGGGCTGAAGATAAATGGCGGCAAACGTTGCGACTTTAAAGTGTGAGACAAAATTGTTAAATGTTTTGTATCTACCGAAAATAATGTATTCCTTTTTTCATAATTCAATGGGTGTATTTAGCAGATTAATTGCAGATACCTATTGAAAAAATCACAAACTCAGACACGTAGACGCAATGACTGTAACGAAATAATGAACATGTATTTTATTTGGCATATTACCTGACTTTGATCGTGTTGACCGCGTCCAAGATGTCCTGCTGAGACAGACCATCAATCGTCGCTTTGTCGAAGGACCAAAGGTCCAAGAGACTGGACACTCGACAGTTCGGCCCGATCCTGCATTGAAAATGGAGTGAGTGAGTGAGTTGAGGTTTGCTTTGAACGGTAACTTAGTACTAGTCACGTCAGTTCTATATTGCAAGAATTTCAAAAGTGAATATGTTGACGTTGACGTTTGTACCCCATGCTGAAGCTCACAGGTGTTACTATTTAAAACGGGGGCCCGTTCCACAAATCGATCTTAGCGCTAAGGTGATCGTAACTCCCATACATTGACATAGGCTTACGGTTATCGATGCGTTAAAATGTAGAACCTAGTCCTAGTTCTCTTGTACGTAAAGAGACCAATCGGATAACAGGACAGACATTCTTCTTTGGTCAAAGACGGACTCATGTTCAAATATTCCCAATTCCAGTTACCCTTTAAAAAAAACATCCTCTTTGACACATTTTAGCCGTACCCATGCTTTTAGTATAATGATGAGTCCAAAATAGGCCCTTGATTAAATTATTATTACTATGTTCTAAAATTATACATATCGACAGCTCATGTCATACCTTTATATTCATAACAACTTTATATATTTGGGGTGAAGGTACCGTGTCGAAGAATGACAGTTTCACGACCACAGCAACTTACTTGAGGCATACATCAGCCAATTTGAATCCATTAGCGGAGGTTGCGTTAAGTGCAGCTTCATACATCGAATACACCTGCAGGAACACAGGAAAACGTGATAACCATTATCACTGTCGAGGTAGACCGGTCGGGTTTTGGAAAATAAGAGCGGCCCAATCGAACACGCCGCTCCGACTTTGTTTTCTATCTAGAATCCTTCATCAACGTTAATTTCGAGGAAATATAGCAAACACATCAAGGATCAAGTGATTAAGGTAGAGATCGATATATAGATTTTTAAAAAGTGTCAAATGACTTGCATCCACCACCAGCACCGATCCCAACCTAGATCCATTACACATTGGGAAAGCCTTATCTAAACTTCTCGGGATTGTTAGTCAATAGTTTTTTGAAGATGCAGACATCGCATCGATGTAGTTCCTGCAGGTAACCTTTCATATTTATGCGATTGTGATACCAAGTTTATCGGACTGGCTTAAAAAGAACCTACCGCTTGTAAAGATGTTTTTGTGAGGAGGTTGGAACCCGTAACGATGATGGTGGCAACGCGAAGGGTAGATGGAAACTGTGCTGTTGCCCATTTCCGCTGATTAATGATATCGGCACCAATGGGTATCCAGAGCTTGTCTGGGTCGGTTGTTTCATTGAAGCGGAGAAACCCGATGCCTACTAGGCCACACGCTATGGTACAGCACAACATCACAATCCATGGCCGCTTTCCTATATTCAAACCAAGTCTGAAATATAAGATATTAGATAAAATTAAAAATATATATCTGGGCCCGGGATCATGAAAGTGGTCTTAGCTCAAATTTTGCTAAGCACGAATTTTGTCTTAAGTTTTTAAGATTTTGCTTAGCTAAGATTCGCTCTAAGACTGGCTCTTGAAACGGTCTCAGCAAAATCTTAGCTAAGTCTAAGTCTAAGACCGTCGTCATAGGGACACGCGCACGTAATATCGCACTACTGTAATCATTGGATGCCGAGGTTATTTTTCTGACGCACATTTTCCTAAGATCGGAAAAGAGAAGGTTGTGCGAGAATTGCGCTCACTCGGCACTGGATCTACCTCTGGCTATAAAATTACGCAGTGATGTAGAATATTAAATTTCCTATCTGATGGTGTAAATTTAACTGTAAACATTAAACCGGTTTGAAGAAAAGACGCTCCTAAGTTTTGTCCGAGAAATTATTCTGCGTCGAAAAACAGGAAATTTCTCTGCTTAGACTTAAGATATTCTCAGTGATTGAGCTTCGTGATCCCCGATTGAAGACAAAATTTGGTCTTAAGTCTAAATCTTAAGAGTTAAGACAAAATATGATCTTAAGTTAGTTTCATGATCCTGGGCCCTGAAATCAGGCTCAAATGGCAGGGATAATTAGAATGGTTTGTTGTTAGGTTATAAGTGAGTGAGAGTATGGTTCTACCCCGGATATGGCTTCGCACATAGTAACCAGGTGGAGAATCGAACGGGGGTCTTCGGCTTGACGAGAGAACGCTTTAACCACAAGGTTACTCTATCGCCCCCTTATGCTTTGGTTGGTTGTTTTGTTTTAACGCCGCACTCCGCAATATTCCAGCTATATGACGGCGGTGTGTAAATAATCGAGTCTGGACCAGACAATCCAGTGATTGATATCATGCCTTACGATCTACGCTGTTGGGAACGATGACATGCATCAACCAAGTCAGCGAGCCTTACCACCCGATCCCGTTACTCGCCTTTAACGACAAGCATAGATGAATTTTACGGCAAGAACTGGTTGCTGAAGCCCTATTCTACCCCGGATCGTCACGGGTCGCCCCCTTATGCCATAAGTATAAACCGGTATGGTGTTCCACTTAGTTTACATGGTTATTCTTTAATTTTAAAAGGTAGGTATGTTTCTTCAACAACGTCAACACTCGCAAACTCTATCGTAATCAATGGAACTGGCCGCCATGTTGTTGATATCGCCACCCCAACATTGAGGCTGGTTTGCATTTCGTAAGACTGAGTAGCGTAGAATGCCAAATTGACTAATTAAATTAAAGGGAGGAATATGTTTTCAGAACATGTTCTTAAACATTTGAATTTTAATAATAAATAAAAGCAACAGCTAAATGTGTTTTAATGCAATGAATAAATCGGAGTCCTATTTTGATGAGACATCCTTAGACAGACTCATCCCTTCAGCCGGGTCGAAGAAATCGAATATGAAATCTCAACACTCATCAGTCTAGAGTATCCGCCGTTAGGTGTAGGGTATAGCGGGGAAATTATATGAATGGGTTAGTGAACAAAAGTGATGACGCCAGGTGTTCGCGGAAAGGATAAGCATGTCCTGTCCTACTGGTAGCACCTGCAGCTCACAGTTTGCACAAAGAGGTGCCAGACGCCGCACACGTGTACTCCTGCCACACGACGGCGACCTGCAGGTCGAGTCTTGACCAGATAATCAAGTGATGGACCAGAAATCATGTGACATGACAGCCCATTTACTGACTATGTTAAACTAAAAACGACATGTCAATTTGAATTACGTCTGCTGTGTACAAATACGGTGATTCTGACGACTACAAGTAAAGAGAAACGTTAAAGGAAAGAGTTCGTTTGGCAACTCATTGGGGATGGGGGCTACATTTTTAATGTCTCGGCCCAAACATTTCTTTTCTAGTTGACTCAGCATAATTGATAACTGCCACTGAGCTTATGATAACGCCCGGGGTAAGTAGTCTACTATCGGTAACATCAACCCAGTTGAAGTACATGTGAAACGTTAACGCCTTCTCTCGACCTGGGGGCACGGGTGACCCAGTCGTCTAAGGCGCCGCGATTCGCTGTTCAGAGTTGCGTCCCTTGGACACGCCAGAAACCTATGATTGTGGGTTCGAATCCCGGTTCGCCCCCATTATGTTTCTAGGTTTGTCAGCACCATACCCGTGCTCGTGGGTTTCACCGAAGTGGTAAACGTCTGAGACCTGCATCATTTCGGGCTTTCCTCCCACATTAAGCTGAAACGCTGCGATATAACTGGAATACAGTTAAAAACGGCGTTAAACCCAACTCACTCACTCACTTCTCTCGACCTTCTCTCTGTACTGAGTTTCAATTGGTACCCATTAAAAATCCCTTTCATTTTTGGAATTTTGGAGCCAAGAATATCTTGACGGTGTCGCCGGGTTACAGGATTAATTGTAAATCTTTCGATCATGATATAATGACATTTGCTATGTCGAAATATCAGCTAACACAAAGCCAATTCATAAAGCAAAGTTCTGATATATAGAATGGACCTTTGAGGTCGTTATGGCCAGATGTGACTGTAATTGAAACACTTGAATCTGTTAAATATATAGATTTAGACCATTAGAAAATATGTAATAGTTATAAATATCTTACATATACAAGTGCCTGGGGGTTTCAGTTCTTCAAAGCAAAGTGCAAGGATATTTTCGGCTTATCTGAATATGAAACATGCTTTGTTTCATTTCTGCTAACGTGTAGCTTACTAAAATTACAGGATGTGTTTTGACAGCAGGATGTGCAATACAATGTTGCCATGGAAACGAGTCTGATAATTAGCCTACTCCTTGTTTGTGATAAAGTGCCGTTAGAATAGCTCCATTCAGATACGTCACAATATATGGTGACCTCTGGTTGGAACTGTCATTATTATTACCTCCCACCCCACACACCCCGTCCTCCCTCGTTGCCATGGCTACCTTTGTAAACACTATGAATACTGTAGATGCGCCGATCAATATAGAATCGTATAACGAACTCTCCTTTCAGTGTGTGTGTGTGTGTGTGTGTGTGTGTGTGTGTGTGTGTGTGTGTGTGTGTGTGTGTGTGTGTGTGTGTGTGTGTGTGTGTGTGTGTGTGTGTGTGTGTGTGTGTGTGCGTGACTGGACTAATGCCGATTTTACTATGCTAGACCACTGAGATACCATGTTGCAGTTTCAACGTGAATATCCCACACAGACACAGTATACTCCGAGCCAACCAGTCCTTGTTTTATCCCATTCCTGCCGAGCGCCAGGCAGGGTAACAACAAGAACCATCATATTTTGGTATGACGCGGCCGGGGATCGAACCGCCGACCTTCCGCTCTCCGGGCGGGCCTCAGTTAAATAAACGCATATACCGTCGTTACGTTTCTCAAAAGTTACCATTCGGCACACTGTATCCCTGTCGTGATTACGTCCCTTGGCAAGCGGGAAACCTTTTATCATGGGTTCGAATCCCGGTTCGCCCCGATTATGTTTCTAGGTTTGTCAGCACCATACCCGTGCTCGTGGGTTTCACCAAAGTGGTAAACATCTGAGAGCTGCATCACTTGGGGCTTTCTTCCCACATCAATCTGACACGCCGTGATATAACTGCAATACTGTTCAAAGCAGCGTTAAACACTACTCACACACCTAACGTGTATTTGCTATATGCTCTTTTCAAACGTTGGTGGGTTTGTACGTTCAGTAATGTTGGTGAAAATGTATATCACAAATGAACATGTACCATGTTCTGCTGTCAGCTGTATACTTCTCATCACCGGGTGGTCCCTGTACCCTTTATACCAGATCGTCCAACAGTAGTCCAACCACCCGCACACTCCTGGGTATCGTTGTACTGAGCGATCTTTGCGCCAAGGTGATCGTAACTCCCATACCTTAACATAGACGTACGACAGTCGCAGCGCTAGGGACGTTTTGTACAATGGCACCCTGATCTGCAGCTCTCGGTACAGAACATTCCATAAAACTACACGCGTGTTTGCATTTATTCACCGGGGGTAATAAAGACTTCGGTTATCACCCGTATTCATGACCTGCCTTTCACGTGGCTTTCACACGTGACAATCGCCTTGAATTACGAGTATCAACGTTTCTTATCAGCTCTAAAACGGCCGCCCTGACAAGGAAGTTCGAGAACCAAGCAAGCCAACATGTGACAGTATTGGGTTGTATAATAAAATAAAACTGACGAAAACCATTTGCATAATAAAGTGATCAGGATAGGGAATTGTATCGGACACCAATTGCTTATAAATAGATTAGGCATTTGTTTGGAATTATACTTATTTCTGCTATGGCATTTGTTTTAAAGATTTTAAGTTTTTTGCTTGATACATTTCCATTAGTGATTCGCAAATTATTATTTTTTGTTTATGTTTTTGTGGAAAGTACGAAGTATTTGTGTGTGTTCTTTTCATTTTATATTAATTTTGTTGCTCTGCTGATCATGAATTAAACCCCTCATTCGTTGAATTGTAAATGAATATATTCTATTGCCGATCAAGTGATTCGACAATTTCAAGTAAAGATGCTCGGGTCACGTGGTTTACTGCCCCTTTCCCATAAAGAAATATATAAACACCAGTTATCCGGGGTGGTATAGGTCTTCAGGAACCCATGCTTGCCGTAAAAGGCGACTATGCTTGTCGTAAGAGGTGACTAACGGGATCAGACTAACGGGTGGTCAGACTCGCTGACTTGGTTGATGCATGTCATCGTATCCCAATTGCGTGGATCGATGAATATGACATCAATCACTGGATTATCTGGTCAATTCAATTCAATTCAATTCTTTATTGTATGACAGGCCACAGGCCCATATACAACGGAGTTACATAACATATTTTATAAGATACAAAGTCAAGGTAACAATTCACTTCGTAACAAAAACACATTATGTATGTACAAAGCCAGTTGATGTTGTGTTAGAAGACTCGATTATTTACAGACCTCCGTCATATA